CCAATTTATCCTACACTGATTAACGATAATTCGTGTGTAGGTTAAATTTAGAAAAATTCTATAATTTATTTTCATTCTCATTCATATTTATCTAGACAAATATAAATGTTAAAAATATTTTCTGTCATATTTAAATAATTAATAAGTAAACTTAACTACGAATTTTTTTTAATGTTTAGTTGATTATGTGATCTAATACATTTCTATGGTAATTGAAATATTAACAAATAGATATGATAACCGAGTTCACACACGTTTATTGTTAATACAAATTTGATTAAGCCAATGGTCCAGTATACAACATACTATCTCTTCATGAACTGCATATTAATAAAAAACACCATATATATATGAATAGGCATATAAATGCATTTGTTTATGAATAAGGTTAGCTTACAATTCATGGTGTTCACATAGTCAATAGTTCTTAAGAGTCTTTTTTCACACAGTTAATGATATATAGACAAATATTCTAGATATTGAAAGAATCGATATATGTTTTATATTGAAAATTATATATTACTATGTAAATGAAGTGTATCATGATTTGGACGTCTGAACCGTATTTTTCTTTTTAAGAGTATTTAAGTAATATATTATGAATACTTGTTCAGTAACAGAATTGAACTGTTTACAAAATCGTCCGATTTAGAGTAAAATATATTTTGAAAGCAAGCAATTATTAAAGAATCCAGAGAAATTTATTTTCATTAGGACCATCCCATCCTTATCTAACAACTACTGACAATTATAATATTGAATAGTATCAGAAGGGGTTTTGTGGAGATTGTAGTAATTTAAACAGTTTGAGATTATGAGTCAATTGAAGCTAGACCACCATGGGGAACCTGGAAGCACTGGACGGCCGTTTCGTTCTATTGTGGGACTCAGCAGTGCGCATCCACGATCCCGCACCCCGCGAGATTCGAGCCCAGGACCTATCAGTCTCGCACCAAGCGCCTAACCAACTAGACCACTGAGCCGGCATCCAACGGTGTTAATGTCGAACTTCAACTAATCCACGAAATTCGGCGACACATCCACCATTGTCATCAGGACTGATAGGTCCTGGGTTCGAATCTCGCGGGGTGCGGGATCGTGGATGCGCACTGCTGAGTCCCACGATAGGACGAAACGGTCGTCCAGTGCTTCCAGGTTCCCCATGGTGGTCTAGCTTCGATTGACTCATGCTCTCAGACTGTTTATAATATTGAAATTTTTTTGAACTTGAACTAAACAATTTAAAGTATGTTAGGTTGCTATTTTTAGGTCAGTATATCGGTAATGACTTAATCACTTTTTAATTTTGTAATATGCGTAACATTTAAATAACTTACGTTCAATAAGTTACGCACTCTGTGAATTACAATAACAGCTTTTCTTATTCAACCAACTGTTGTTGAGCAGTCTACTGAATTTATCAACCAACTCTATGCATTAAACCAGTGGATGAATGTATTTAAAATTGGGAAAGTAGGATTTTTGAAAAATGTTTTACGAAAGATCCATAGTATGTAAAACTGTGGTTAATCATGACTTTCACGAAGTTCAATAGCTGTACTATTTCTTGTACTTTTGTTTATTTTTTTGTTTCATTTAGTGGGAGAATACTGCATGTAGGAGTGTGATTTCTATTAGTGATTTCACTTTAAGCCTTAACTTCCACAATATTTATGTTTTTCATTAGTTGATTGAGCCACACTTCATCGTATTGGTAACAGGCATGAATAAGTTCAAACACTTGAAAGGAAAACTTTAATGAAGATTACACCATTTACGTATTAAATGAACTGAAGGATAGACAAAAATGCTGAACACAACACTGAAAATTGAAAATGGTGATGACAACTTCAGCGTATATGCAGTATATCTAGTCTTTAGGGGAGTAGTAAAAACAACTAAATAGCTCAGATCTTATATTTATTTAACCGGTTTTACAAAATTCTGGAATGAATGAGGTGGCTGGATTGATCTAGAGCTGCAACTGGATTTTTTAGTATATAATTAAAATGATTTTTCCTATTTTTGCACATGCATATAGTTCCACCCATATTTCCAGTTACCCTGTAAAACAACATAAATGATTTTCTTCCCCGTTTACTATCCACATTAAGTGACCATAAAACAATGGTACACTATCAGAAGCTTCAAACAATTTCAAATATTTGCATTAAAAACTATGATGGGAGTATATGGATTCATTTCAACATCTCAAAAATCAAAAGTAATCAACGAATAATCTTTAATTAAATATGAATGACTTGACGTTATACTTGATTATCTGGAACGTTTCTAGACTAAAAACGAAAAAAAAAACAACTTGATCTCTTAGTCGCCAACATCTTTCTTATTTGAACACTTTCGGTATCCTACTGGTCCTTATAGTATTGAGATGATTGTCTTTGTGAAAATTAAAAGTTTTTTACGGACTGACATCAGTTGGAAAACTGGGTATCTTTTTTATACAATTTTGCAGCTAATTAGTATTCTCTCGTCTGTCTTGAATTATGCACATGTAGCTGCTAGATTGGTTAGTCCGTCTGAAAATTTCCCTCATTAGCTATGACGACTTCACAAATTTCCTATAGAAACCGTACTGAACAAAAGCACCAGCATTTTCGAAAAAGTTGAACTGAATACATTCATGTTACTAGGCATTTAGTACGCCTTATGTTATTCTGACTCTTTCGATCATGTTGTAATGTAGCCAGTATTTTAAGTGATACTCCTCGAATGAACGGTTGATTATGAAATCGAAATAATGGAGGTGATTTCTACTGTTGTAATAGCTGATGTAGCCCAGGACTACAATGAGCGCTTCGAAATTACGCTAACAGGATCAACAAAGTGTCCTTCTAAACAAAGAGAGAAGGGGTTATAACGAATGTCACCCAGTGCTACGCTGTCAACAATGATAGCAGCGATTATAGCGATCAGTTTCATGGGGTAGTAATCGATTGTCGAGAAACGTTCACGAACAGACCCAACCATCCTGATGTGAGACTTACCCTGGGTAAGATTCAAGATAGGAAAAATAAGAAAACGGTTTGCAACAACACTCAAATGAAAGCAGAGAAAGTCAGGATACACGCCGAACGTAAGAGTAGAAACAAAAGATTGGAGAAAAGCATTACAGATGACAAATGGAAATATGTGGAATACCTAGAAAAGACTGCAGAATAAGCTGTAAGGGAAAAAATATGACAGACCTATATAGTACAACTAAGAAACTAGCAGAGAAAAAGAGATGATAGCAAGAAAAGTCAAAATTCGATTGATTTACTCATTATGAATTTCGCTCAACATTACTTCCGTTTTAATTCAATCTGATGATTATTCAGTGTGGTATTTGTTTTGTTTTCGCGTATGATATTTTATGCTGTATAGGATACGATATTCTCGTATTCAACTGACATGAACTACGCTCAGCATGTGATTTGTTATATGGGTGTAGGAATCATTATATAAATGAGTGTATTTCTTATTAGAGTCGTCGTGTTTTGGGGTTAATGAATCATCACTTATAACCATTCTTTGTGCTCTTACTTTCGAGTCATAGAAATTGCAGAGGTCCCTCGTTTCGAGTATAAGTGATAAGCATTTCCGACACAACAGTCAGCGTCAACCAGATATAGCAAGTAGCGTTCAACTGACAAAACATATCAGAAACAAATCAAATTGATCAGTCAAAAACAAAGAAGGCACATCAGTTAGCGAGGTTCAACAGCAGTGTAACAGATAGATAGAAGAACTCTTTAACTGACCAGTCCCACAGAACCCACCAGATATCCAAGCAGTATACACAGCCCTATCTGTAGATGTAACAGCACCGAAAATGGAGAAAATCAGGTAAACCACTAGACAAATCAACTATGGGAAAGGAGCAGGATCAGACAGCATGCCAGTTGAAGCACTGTAGTCAGATATAGAGGTAACTATCATGATGAGTCACGTTCTCTTCAGGAAGATTTGGAGGGGAGAACAAGTATCGGCAGACAGAAAATAAGGGTACCTCATCGAGACCACAGGAGGTCTTAGTAAGTATAAAAAACCAAGACATCAAACTACTGTAAGTGCCAGGCAAAGTTTTAACAGTGTCGCTTGACTTAATGAAATATTCAGTAGACGCCCGATCTCAGGATCAAGAAACTCGCAGTGACCGAATCGCGAAACTACAATCAGTTGAACGGACTTATTTTATCTTATTCAAACATAAATATCGGTACAAAGAGGCATCGAATACATATGCGTCGCATCCGATTTGTGCGAGGGTTTAGATACTTCCCGGGTGCCCAAACCGGAGGTGGTTTTCTTAGGGGGCCACTCCGCTAGCCTTTAACCTAAAGGTCTAATCCACAAGGTAGTGGAGCAACGTCAGGAGATGCAGTCCTGTGGTAGTCGGTGACCATCAATAGGTTCACACGCCATTAGTTTCCTCAGGATTCTGGAGCCCATGTGCACCATTGGTTTAAAATCACGGTTTTCCAACTCTCTTAGGTTGACTCTCCGTGTCCGTCAACCCGATCAAAACGTCGAACATTCGCCTTTCATTCTCTCAGTTTCGTAAACAATACCCCTACCTCGAGAAGGCAGTGAATAAGACTTCACTGTCAGAAATTGAACACACTGAAGCAATGTGTAACTCATATTACTCACTTCTTTATGTACATTTAAGTTCATTTTAGCATATTTTCCTTTGACTTATATTTTCTACTGATTATGTTATGAATAAAATGTATCAGCATGAACCATATGCGAAATTTTTCCTGGTTAAATTAGTTCATAATTTGCTTATATTCATTATTATTTTTTAATGATAACTTAATTGTTTACTGCCGTTTTAAATAAAAAAAGATTACCCACTAGTGAAACTATTTTATCAAAAACATCAGGTAAACAGTGTTTAGGAATTGGTAATTAGGAATATTTGCATTACATCCACATATAATACTGAAAATATTAATTTATGTAAAGTAAAACCATATATACAATAGATAATTTCATAGTAACATTTTATGGTTTTTCAACAAATTAATTAATTCTTCCACAGATGTACAGAAATAATCGGATATAGTTTTAACTTTAGGACGAATAACATTGACACCGAAACCGATAAATACAGAAGCTGGTGGACAAGCATTTGCATCTGTCATTCCATCACCTATCATCATAACTGGAGTATGCAATTTATTCAGTAATTCATTAACGATTAAGGCTTTACCATCGGAACGACTAGTTGGTGCACTATGATCCAATCCAACGAATGTGCCTATGGAAAATTTTAAAAAAAGCTTACCAAACAATGGGAACATAAAGAAAAACTTACCATAATATTCAGAGTACTAAAAGCATTGCTCTATTCAAAATATGGTCTAAAGATACTACTGATATGAATAAATGCATCACGATGATAGGGTGTACAAAGAAACATCAACAAAACAGGTCTTGTTGTTAAATGCGTCATAGCTTTCTCAATTTCGTCATGAGTTGTACGGATGATGTGAATTGCTTATTGCAAAAACAGTCAAACCTTAGGCAACTGGAGAGTAGTTGTACATCAGTTGAAATATTCTTCGAAGTTTTTTAACCTACATTACATATTACAGACAAATTCCCTATTAGGTTATCAAATATTTTTCTAAGGAACAAAAATAACCTTGGACAACTGATAGTTGTAACAAAATGACGACCTCATTATAACGGATGTTTGGAAGGAGTAATCACAAATAAATTATAGTGAACATGAAATCAGTTTGCAGTGATTTAGTACTTATTAGTTAGTTTCATAACAGGAATTCTTCAATACAAAGCAAATCATTACTTCATTACCGAACATTACCCACACTCAGTTATTTTAAATATTTTTCAGTAAGTGAGTGACGCGTAACTTGGATTGGTTCAAGTTGACATACTACAGTAACACAGCGAAATAAAATTGTCAAGACAAATCCTAGAATAGTAGAAGTGATAAAGTAACAGTAGTAGTAAAAAATAAACGAAAAAGTATAAGATTTTAGGATTTAGTAACCACAGAAAGATAGAGAGTGAATCCACCTGAGCTATTGCAACCGATTTTGAGTCATTCCCCTCAAAGCCTCTAGTTATGTGAATCCCAACCAGGTGGTCTACAACGGTCCAGATGTCAGTGACTTTATGGACTGGTGCCACGTCTTATTTGATACCGTTAGTCTTCTTCCAACATACTCCTACACCATACAATTCCCCACATCAAGGCAGTCGGTGGTTGGATAACACATGTCCTAGTCACCTCAACTAATGAATATTCACTACATCGTCAACTGATCTGCCATATCTACGTAGTACCATATACCTCTTTTCGGCACCGTCCACTCAGTGGCCCAAAAATACACCGGCGATGCTCCAAACACACTTATGATTGGATGGTAATAGCCTACGAATATCCCCTAATCTCAGTGGTTATGTTTCACACCCATGAAGTGAAACGGAGCAAACTGGTGAACAGTAAACTCGTCATTTGGTTGAAAGATGGATATTTCGCCTACCCCACAAATGACACAAGCTGGCAAAGTCAACCAACCTTTCAGTATTCGTGCCAAGATTTCGTCATACAGCAGCCTATCAGGGATGATGAGATCTCCAAAATAAGTGAAGTGGTCAACGCACTTAACTACATCACTCCCTATCATTACTTCAGGAGTTGACACAGACCAATCTTGAAACAGCATTTTGGATTTGAAGGGGAGCTATTGCGTTGCTGCCTAAGGTGGTCAAAAGATTGCATCTTATCAGGATCTTCATCAACACAGGACCAAGTCACCTGCGTATTCTAAGTCAACAAGTAAATCTCCTGGTGGAACACGAATCTCTCCAAAGTCAGATGATGAAAGTGACATATCTATGATAAAGTCAAATAAAAATGGGGAAAGCGCACAACCTTGCACAACACCACTTGAAGACAGTCCCCATCAATAGTGTTCGAGTAGAGAGACTGTACAAGGTTGATGTACTTCCTTGGTTTGTCTTCCAATGGCAGACGCACAGAACTTATCAATCAAGAGTCTAACGCTACCTTACGCGCCACACAGTAGCAATGAGGTTATGAAGAGATAGAGAATTTAAAATGCGTATATTAAAAGAAGAACAATAACGAACAGATATCAGTGTATGAGTGAAATAATAATAATAATAATAATAATAATAATAATAATAATAATAATAATAATAATAATAACAGTTCAGTTAGCAAAAATATAACTAGAAAGAATTCTTTCAATTAGAGAAGTTACATTTATTTTCTATGGAGTAAAAGAAAGTTACAACAGGATCGCCACTGGATTCTGTTTTGAGCCATGTTTGATAATGTCTCAAGCCACTGTGTTGCATCATCTCTAGGACCCCAACCAGGGAGTCATGGAGGACCAACAGAAGCCAGTCCTGTACAGCATTCTTTCATATCACGACACCATGTCATAGACTGATGCATGATGTGGACTTATCCCCCGATAGTGGGGAGAGTCCACTCTCCCTCTCGAAATGCTCTCACATGGCCACGCGTATATAGCCCCTGCCAGGGAAGTCCTACTCACTGCCTTCCCGTGGCGGGGCTGTTGTTTACGAAAATGAGAGGACAAAAAGCGAATGTCCGGCGCTTTAACCGGATTCCAAACCAATGGTGCACATGGGCTCCAGTATCCTGCAGGAACAAATGGCGTATAAACCAATTGTTGGTCACTGGCTTCCATGGGACTGCATCTCCTCACGATGCTCCACTGCCTTGTGGATCCGACCTTCAGGTCGGAGACTCGGGGTGTGGCCCCCTAAGAAAACCACCTGCTTCGCTCCAGGCACCCGGGCAGTATCACAGCCCTCACACATATCGAATGAGATTTGTGTGGCGCATATGTATTTGGTGCCTCCTTGTACCAATGTCTATGTGTTAAGATAAAATAAAATAAATAAAATAGTAAGAAGTGCAGCTGTCAACTTAATGTAAGTCATAGATGTGTCCGTAGGTATGGTATGTGCTTTGCACCTTCAAAGTGCAAATTACTTCTACAAGACTGGAAGGATTCCAATCCTGTACTCACCCTGGATGGTGAGCAGATAGACGTAGTCGAGAAGTTCGTGTATCTGGGTAGCTGCATAAGTGCTGGTAGGGATGTGAGTGATGAGATCAATGCACGTACAGTGAAAGCCAGAGCGGCTTATGCCAATCTGGGCCATCTTTGGCGCCTTCGTGATATCAGTCTGGCCGTAAAAGGTCGGATCTACAACGCGTCGGTGAGAGCAGTTCTGCTCTATGCTTGTGAAACCTGGTCTCTCCGAGTTGAGGACGTTAGACGACTCTCTGTGTTCGATCATCGCTGTCTCCGAAGGATTGCTGACATTCAGTGGCAACACCATGTCAGTAATGCAGAGGTTCGGCATCGTGTGTTCGGGCACAGAGATGATAATTCAATTGGTGTCACCATCTTGAAACACCGACTTCGGTGGCTTGGACATGTTCTCCAAATGTCGTCCCAGAGAATTCCACGTCGTGCATTATTTGCCGACTCTGGGACTGGTTGGAAGAAGCGGAGAGGTGGTCAGTATATGACATGGTGTCGTGGCATGAAAGAAAGCTGCAAAGGACTGGCTTGTGTTGGTCCTTCACGACTCCCTGGTTGGGGTCTAAGAGATGGTGCAACACAGTGGCTAGAGACGTTATCAGATATGGCTCAGAATAGAAGCCAGTGGCGATCCTGCTGTAACCTTCTTTTACTTTCTTCATAAAAAGTGGTTCTGTCTCCCTTAACTGAAAGATTTCTTCCGATTGTACCTTTGCGTTCCCTGATTACTAGCACATTACCTTACACCAATCTCTTCGTTATTGTTCTCTCTTTTTTTGTTGCGCTCCTTAGCTTTTTCTTTCTTTCTTTGTATTCCTCTCGAAATTTCATTGTTTTGTGTGGCGCATATATATTGGCGCTCTCTTGTACCAATATTCATGTGTCCAAATAAAATAAATAATAAAGTCATAGATAAGCACTGGTTACACTTACAAAATTTCATGAGAATGTTGAGTGAATTAGCTTGCAGTCTCAAGAGCCTCTTCCACAAAACAAACGTTAGCGAAACCTGGAGACGCATTCCAAACAAATATTTTTCTTAATTTTGTCATAAGACTTACTAAGTAAGACGTTGGTCCTATTTTAAATCGCCAAGATTTGTGTAGTATCATACTTCTTCAAATGGAATAGGTAAGTTTATTTACGTTTCAAAAAAGCTAGCATAGCTCCTGAATACAATTGCTTCTGGAAACTTGATATATATGCAATATGTAGAAGATACTGATCTATTCCCGAGGGATGAAGTTCAATAAACCAGGCTCAAATCAATAATTTATGATTTTAAAGATTGGTATGACCATCCGAGCTTCAATAAGAGACTTAATCCGACACTAAATAGCAGAGGTAATCAAAGTCATGTTGATTATTTAAATAACATATTCTGACTTTAGGATTGTTTATGGAATTGAAATCTATCAAGGTATTTTTGTCTTAAACTCTTTAGGGTAGTTAAAGTTTATATCCAAATTATTTATTTTTAAAAAACCCATTCCTCGTTATCATAACAACCTTAACCTAATATTTTTTCTGGTTAGCGCCTTTTTAGAGATTTAGTTTTCTACGGGATGGGGTCACTAACCCCATGCCCGACCCTCCCTCTTTATCCGGGCTTGGGACCGGCAGCAGCCCCAGAGGGGCTCCGGGCGGAGTTAACCTATTATTATAGGCCTCATTCAACAGATTTTTGCATTTGCAAATGTCTCCTTTTCTGAACTATATAATCCGTTTCCTCAATTTTTTACTCCCCTTCTTTAGTGTAGCATTACGAATAAACGTTATTGTCTAATTCTTAGGACGAAAATATTATTTCAATAATCCTATCCCATTCACATAATTCGTCGAAACCCCCCTTCTTTACTTACATACATTCTGTAGAAATTGCAATTCAGCCTGTAGCCCTTCTAGAGTTTCTCCTAATCGAAAGCCCGGATAAAGGAAGAGGGTTAAGCATGAGGTCAGCAACCCCATCCCATAGGAAACGACTTTCTTAAAAAAATGCTATCCAGGAAAAACAATTTGAACTCTCAACTGGGATTCAGAAGATCGTCACTCGGAAGAATTGACACCCAAGATGCTTCGGAAATCACGAGGCCGATGCCTCTCCAGACGGTACTACAAGTAACTAGGACTAACGTTGGTCCTTATGTCTGAAGACCGAAAGCTGAATGCAAGAAACATTTGACTACTGATGGAATAATTGTTGACATCTGGATGTTTTTTAGAAAATCAATATTGCATTTATGCATACAAATTCAATGGTAAAATTATTTTGAATGGAGATGGTTTGTTTTCACAGACAGGCTAACATACAAGAGAACCTTATCTAACTGCAGCTTTCAAGGTTACATTGTGCACAATTTTGTATCAAAGCAAACGAGAAAAAACTTCAACAATCAGTATTACCTTCGTTATTGAAAATCGGCTTGTTCGCGTAAACATTTTCTTCAGGAATATTGAGCAGTTTGGCTACGCGATTAACTAACGGATATAATCCACCGCTTACCAAGTAAACATCAACCCCATTTTCTTTGAATTGATTAACAAGATTTCTGTCCAAAGCGTGAAAAATAAATACTTAAATAAATTATCCAGACCAAAATGATTATTAGGCCATATCATAAATTCATCAAGTTGATTTAGTACATAAGTTTAGATCTCAAAGAAAAACTGTTTTGAAGTCAACTGAGTTATCAAAACTTTTAAGATGGAAAATAGTTGGTTGAGGAAGAGAACGATTAAGCTTAAAACGTGACCTAAACACATCAGCAAACGGAGATTTGCAGTTCCACTGATCGATTCGTCACAGTTCCCCATTACCAGACACCTAGCCACGTCAGTGTTAACTCAATCGTTCCACCATACACCGGCCAAATATTTGTGGCCTACACATATGCCACAGCTGTAGCACAATATAGTGCGGACTGATGCGTAATATACCCGCCCATTGATTGGCAAACGGATATCTAGCTATATATTCCATATAGTTTTCATTTAAATAAAACATGTAGTGAGCAACACAAACCATTTTTTTTTACCAATAAAGGAAATATTTCAGTACCCTAAAGGCTAATATGATGAATTGTCTGCCACCTTGCCAAACAAAGTTAGATCTCAGTATCACTAACAAATTATTGCTACCAAGTGAGACAACAATTACAAAAAGTGGTTACAAAACACAGCCACCGAAAATTCTCAGTTTGTGATAGTCACATATGATCAATTCAAGAGGTAGACCGTACAAAATAAATTACATTTCTGAATAAAAACAACAGACAAACCATCCCAAAACCCATAGTTCAGGTAAGAAATACTAGTTACTTCTATAGAAGCGAATTACATCAAAGAATGCGAAACACTGTAAACTTTATGAAAAGTTCATTCCCAATATTAAAGCTGTCATACAAAGATATGGCGTAAAGTCTATTCGAAGTCCTCATTTTTCTCTGAGTAATACTTTTTACCAAGTTTCACCCAAAATGTTATCCACAGTTATTTTTAGGAGAACGGATGATAAACTTATGAAACTAAACTGACTGATCGAATTCTGCAATAGAGACTGAAAGGATATCATAACAGATCCAAATAAAAACGAAACAGACAAGAACTTCATTGACCAACTCTATGTATATAAGTTAGAATACCAACACCTATAAACAGCATTTTAGTTCTGTTATAAAACTATATTAAAAGTAGCCCTACAGTATGACTTGGTAGAGTAAAATATAGATTAGTCACTTCCATTTTGGTACATTTAAAAAGATTCCAGCGATTTAATATGGATGTTTCATTTGAAAACGTTTAAGAAATTCCCGTCAAATTTACTTGACAGCATTGTTATTTACATCTAGTGGATGTGAAAGTTTACACACAAGTGTCTGCTTGCGGCAGTAGCTTAGTGGTGAATCCATATGCTTTACAGTCACTGAGCTCCAGGTTCGAACTCCACCTCACCTATTTCGGTATGAGCAACAGGGTATTATCATTAACCTTTAGACTTGGAATGTGGCTCATACCCAAGTAACTTAAGAATGAGTTAAATTATTTGTATTTTGTATGATTACTAACTTTGTGTGTACGAAAAAAACCGCGAGGCATATTACTTCATAACACAGTTCAATAATTTATTTAGTTAACGTGTAATTCTTATCTTATAATCATCAACTGTTACAACCAAAATAGTATTTGCGTCACACTGTAACAGCGACTTGGATATCGACTACTATTAAAATTAGGATTATATACATATACATAATTAATGGCTCATGTCCTTCTTAGTTTCATAAAAACACTCGTTCATTATGAAGTTTTGAAAATAAACTGTCTGTCAGACCTGACCATAGTGACATTTACATTAACAAAAGTATTTATTTAGAAAGGTCAATTTTTATAGGAATGAATGGCATATCTTCCAAAGTCTGATAAAACGAAAATCCATGGTGATTTTCAAAATTGATTTATTAAATGAATGGAGAAAATAAGAAATGAAGTTATTTACACATGGATAACTGGAGCATTATGATTGCAAAACTAAAAGATTTAGTGAGATGAACTTACTCAACACCCGGTGTTAGTCTAACAGGATGGTTGTCTAAAAAGTCAGCAAGCTTCTTTAGATTTAAATTCATTATTGATAAGCGGGCTTCTAATGCCTTAGTAATGTCCAATTCTCCATTCATAGCCTCCTCAGTGCTAATGAAACTTTGAAATATAGACGAAATTTATTGTCTACATTTTTTTAACTTTATCAGTAACTCCAAGAAAACCGGCAATTTCATCCAGTCCTTCGTCTTCACAAGCCGTTGAGTCTACGTCCAAACAAACGCATTTGATATTAGACCAATCTGCAAACATCGATATGTTATACATTAACAAAAAGAAGTTTATTACACTTCAGTTATGTAGTCTCTGAAACAGGAAAGAATCAGATGCACTAGTATACAAAACCAAGTGTAAGGACTAGTTATATGGAGTAAAGATTTGAAACAGCTAAAGATGCCATACGTCAAAAAGATCTATGAGGGTCTTCAAGATACACATCAGACTAAACCAATACTACAACACCAACGATTGTGACTTGTACTTTGAGAACAAAAGATCAGGTGCCTGTGTCAGTCCTCTCCTAGTATGATTTCGTGTCTTTATTTTTCTCTTGAATGAGTAAATTGAAGGCCCATGAACTACTTATCCTGGTAGTTAGTTCTAAAAGTAAATTATTCGGCAAGAAATTTTGTTCGTTCTTGGCTTCTGGATCCGCCAGTTGGAAGAAAACAAAGGTAATTCAGGTTAAAAATCACTTTTAAGTATCCTTCACACCATAATTACATCGCTTCCGAATCAAATGTATAGTAATGTAATAAAACTTGGTTTCCAGAGATCCATGGTATGAGGAAAGCCACTGGAATCACAAGAGTACAATTCCTCTGCACATCTAAAAGATCTGAGTAATCTTTTAAAAAAGGGCTTGCGACTTGCACAGTACGCTCGAATTCGGATCTCATTATGGGCTGAGTAAAATAGTGACATACCTTTGGTTATTTTGCGAGTTTTTCTTAACCCCCAAGCCAGTCTATGACACTTAGCAAATACCAAACGTCACTGAGCCATGATCCACAAGTGATGACTGACTATGATCCCTGGGTCATCGGTCAAGAAGTAAAGACGACAAACTTTTCCTAGTTTTCTGGTTGATACCAATTTGCATTAAGAAGCAACTGACTGCACTATCACACATTATTGACGTTTCGAATAAAAATACTTTCAGACCAGCTGGTGGTCAAGTTGCTACAGAAGTGATTGATGACCCAGACAAAACCATTATTGTCCTGAGTAGTTCTAATGTGGATACTGCAACTGATGGGAAATAAATGAAGCGTAAACACAGAAGAGAAGGAAAGATAGCCAAAAATAACGCAAGTTTGGATGAAAAGTCCTTGGTGGGCTCATATCCGGTGTTGAAGATTACTCCGCCAAGTCCCAAATTAAGACGATATTTAACCCTATCATATATATAGGAAAACTTCGGCCTCATCAAACATTGTCATGTCATTCGCTCGACAGTTTTATCAGCCACATGTATAGGTCCTATGGCTGGTATCTCGGTGTGATTAGAACAAGTATTTCTAACAATACACGTGGAGTATACTTCGCTTGAATAGTTTAATTCTCAGCTTTTTCCAGATTTGATCCCGCTAATAAACCTGGATTTCTGTACAACAGTAATGAGGAAATACCATCACTGCGTTTCGTTCTCCATTTAACGTACAAAAACAATCGTTTCGGACAAGTACGGTTATCATATTTCAACTGTCTTTCGTAAATAATACAGCATCTAGCTATGGTCTTTTTATACATATTCTGGGGCTTTTGGTATTCGCACCTAAATTATTCGTGTCCTGTTGACAATAATAAGTCCCAGAAGTGTTTCCTACGCTTCAATAGCTTTTCGCTCTCCCTATTGATCCATGGAGGATTATGTGATAGCTTACGTATCGACCATAGGATAAACGGTGATGTTACAGACTCGAATGTAGCCTTAAACTTATTCCATTCGTCTCAGATCGACCCGCCTGCATTGGTCGATCAGTCAGTCGAGATAGCACAGTCTCTGATTGCCGGGATATTAGCCCGCCAGATATTGGAACGGTGTGGGGCAAATACACATTGTATACCGTGTGTCTGGAACATAAAGTAAAGTATAGCGTGGTCACTATTCGCTAGTAGGGGAAGGTGTTGAATGTCGATGACATTCTCACAGAGGTGTGTGAGGACAAGGTCCAGCAATAACGGACCATTTTCCAAGTCAATGTGTCGGTCTTGCGATACAGGATCGCTATCGAAACCCCCACCTGAAGCTGTAAGCTCTATTCAGTTGATATGCGGTGCGTTGAAATCTCCAATGATGAAACAACAACATGCCATACACCAAGAACCGATGTCTTACGATAAAGTTGTCATCAAAACAACACGGACCATGATACATCTCTCCTATAGTCAATAACCCGTGTCTAGACTTGGTTGTACATCATGCTACTTGACATGTTCCATTAACATGCGCCTCCGATGCGATTGATTATATACGAAAGTGATCCATAACATATAACATTATGCCGGTTCCCTTGAGACTTATAAATCGATCACTTCTAATACAGATGTAGCCTGCAATGATGAGAGAACAGTCTATATGTACGGCGAGCCAAGTTTCAGTGACAATTATATTGGGACTTAATTTATCCACCATCAAACTTAGCTCAGACGTTTTATTTCGAAGACTATGAGCGTTCGTGTAACATACATCTAAGGTGCTTTAAGAATCATTCATTCTACCCACACAGGCCTCGGAAGCATTGGCTTCCAGGACCTGACCACCCGAAAACACTTAGTCGCAAGATTCGCTTTGCCACTTAGCTTTCAACTTCCTAACTTTGTAAAGACATTCTTCCACTTGATTTGATCCTCAAGCGGCCAATCTGGTCGGATACGAATATTTGAATGCGTCGTTTAGAATGATGTCTCTTCCTTCATAAATTCCAAGTACTAACTTTAGGATCCTTTTTATTTGGATCTCGCCTCAAGCTAATTTACCGACCCGAGCTCCCAATTTTGAGGGAAGCCGCCATAGTAAACTTTGGGGAGATTTTGGAGAAATGGCACAAAAACCCCAAAATTTCCCCAGAATCTTACTACAATTTGGGGAAATATGCTTATATTTATTAATAAAACCCTGAAAGTTTTCACAATTTTGGGGAAATTTTGCGTTTTTCCCCGAAATTGCCCCTGATAAGACTCGATTCTTATCGCTTTCGTGATATGTACCCCCAAAACCTTTTCAGATAGTACATTTCTGATAGCAGATCGTGTGCGTATCTTTTATCAGGGTCATTGTCTTTCGACTTCTCTAGATTCCAAATAATTAAACTGGGAACAGGTTAAACTTCTTCGAAAGTCGTGTTCGCTGCAAGAAAACTAACGGCAAGCTCCCAGAAGTTAACAGGAAGGATCTCACATCACTGAAAGGCAAACTGTCAGGATTGATACAGGTCCAGCAACCTACTTTCCTTATTACCGTAGACTGGTAATATTTTCCCAAATTACCAGTGACAGACAACCGACATAGAGGATGAATACGTACATTTATTATGATGCTGGCTCACTAAGAAAAGAACAACTGCTTTTCTGAAGGTTTTAAATATAACCTTTCCTTCTTAGCTATGGTGCATCACATCGACAATTCGTGAAGTTTTTCAGAAGCGGTCAAATCAAGACATATTTAAATTTGAATTTAGTTCAGGCACACCATGTCTCATAACACACATCCTACAGGTAACGAAGACGATGCCATCGTGATGATGCATGATATAAGACGAATCTCCAATGATATTACGTTATCTCAACGGTTTACAAGTTGGGACCATTTTGAGAACTGTTTGAAAGTATCACATAAGGTAATACGACTTCTGTGGTTAATAATTATTTTTGTAGTATAATCATACTAAGTACGTTACGTCAGTATGTAAAAAACAGTGATGACCCGAATCTAAAGTATTTTTTTGTGAGATGTGTTATAATCATCTATAGCATATGCATAATATTTACAACCCTCAGCACAACTAATATATTCTCTATTAACCTATTTCTGCCACAAAAGTCGAACAAAACAGTGAAAATCAATCAAAATTGTGATAAAGAAGGGAAAAACGATAAATCTTATTATAGTATCGTTACTTGTAGCGCTTTTTTGGTAGCCTTCAAGACAATACAATTTTTATGACGATATATGCTTTAATCATGTTATTTCATAGAGAAATAAATGATTTGTCTACGCTTAGTGTATAGTGAAGTAGAAATAATTGCTAGTCTGTGATGCAAATATGAAAAAACCATTATAGCAGCACCTGAATAATGAGTTTTCAAGGACTTCGCGACACCATGTAACGCAAAAAGAAAAAGCCCTTTTTCACCTAATCGTGAAAACGTTAAATATACTTTCAAATTAATTTATGATTATATTCGAATTTTGGCTCTGCAAAAAGCAGAAATGAAAAAGTAGAGCAAAAAAGTGTCGCGATACCCCTGGAGCGCTGCCGCTGCACAACGACTCTGACATTCATTATCCCACAACGTAAAGTAGTGTAGCAAAATCATGAACATTTAATCAGTGGCTGAAGAAGTGAAGTACCTTCCATAGTAAATAAGCTGTCCATACTTAAAAATGTCACGAATATTCATGGCTTGACAACGCCCTTGGCTGTAACACAATATAGTTGTAGGATACCAACCCAGTCAAACCAGAAGTCAAGAATGAAGGAGTTCCGGAATATCATACGAACGTATTCGATATGTCAATAAGCATGTGGCCTATGCTGAATAGTTGTTGCAAGAAATGAGTATCGCGGCATAGCTACCTGTGATCTAAAGTAGAAGTGTGACCGGTAGCCTTCAAGTTTGACGTGTCTAACAAAACTCAGGAGGTTGTAGAGGTAAATAAATCCACAAAATAAATAGCTCTGTAAGTTTTCGACATTGGATGCTGACCATGTTTTGGTGGACCCATTTAGCTGAAGGCGCTCGGTCATGCATCCGCACCAGATCACGTGTGGTAACGCTGTGCTCAACATCTACTGCAATCGCTAGCCAGATTAGATCAGAGAATTCCGATATATTGGTTATCGCCAAATGCACTCTTCCGATCACCTCGACTCTGTCTCCTGATTTCTCTTGGTGGGTATGAATTATATTAGAAGGTGTTGCCGGTAAAAGTGTTGTCAAACACTGAATACCTGTGCCATCTTCAACGTCAGGGTCGATGTTAAAATTTTATGGCGCCACTTACCCCAGGATTATTTTTACCACAATAACTCACTACTCCCTAATAGGGTAGTATATATTCCAAGACATGGCCAGCCAAAAATCCAAGTACAATAGCGTCTGACTGTCTTTTCCTTATCTAAAAAATCATAAGGCACAAAATATTAATGGGAGATATGTTGAATAAAAATTTTGATTCGTCATATCCGTCTTCAGTTTTTCATTCTTTCCAGTCATTCAGGGAATGAAATAAACTGAAAATGTGAGTGCAACTCGAAATACACTCGTACTTACGTAACCAACCGTATTGTGCAAAAAACATCGTTATAAACGCATATATGTACCATGGGACAGTTGAAAAAATTACATCCAGGAAAGGTGGGTCTTATCTGTGTCAAAGCACCTGCACATGTTGTTGATGTAGGCTTTAAAAATCAGTGGACCAAGACACTATCCAGCACAACACCACTGGTTATTGGTCGAGGTGTAGATGTTGTAGAGTTAGTCTAAGTTATTTGATATTTGTTCGTGAGAAAAGGCTTGATTCATTGCAATAAGAGGTTTGTAATTCTAACTGACTGATGTCTGTTGATTAGAATGTCATGTGGCACATTGTAGAGGCTAGTTTCCTCTATATCTGACTCCAATAAATAGTATCCCGTTAACTCAGTATTTAATCCAGGCTGAATCTCCTAGTAGAATTATGGATTTACTCGAGATTATTCAAAAGCCTGAACACCAGTTTATAGAGATAATTCATTGTTAAAGATTAGTTATATCCTCAAGCGTGCACGAAGCATGCACACAGGGAAGCCAGGAGTGTGTGTGAGTGAGTGTTAAAAATCCTCATATATTTATGAGTGTTAATCAAGTATGGATAAATTATTGATTATTTGTGTATTACAACCAATGGGAGGATAGATTGGAAATTGATGTACAGCATGTGCTCAACATTACTCACACAGAAATGTACAAAGTGAATTAAGTGTCTAAATTGCAGTGAGCAGATAAATAACACAGTAGTTGAATGGGCTTACTACACCTTATCAAGAGATTTCTTGATATCACTAGCTCATTTTGGTCATGTTTTCATAAATTTTATAGAGTGACAAAGTGACTTCTTTTGAACTTAATTGTCCAGTTTTTCTTGTGACAGGATTTTTCGGTAGGGAGTGAAAGTAATTCAAGGTCACAAACATGAGTCGAAGAGGTATTTAGCATAAGTAATTAGCATCGACACCGCTGGTTAATTACATCCCATTAAATAATAAGGAGCCGTAATTCAACAAAACTTTCTGTCCTATAATCATGAGTAAATTGAAGTCATCGCCCATCCCCATGTTTTCTAGTCAGTAACGCCATCCTTCCTACTTTCGTGATGCTAGGCTCTCTTACGTTTGTGACATGTAGGAATATTGCTTAAATCCAAGCACCACTGTAACGACCGAACAGCCAATATTCGGTTGGAACAACGGACTGACGAACCCAAAATTTATTCGATTAGACCAGACCAAGTTCCTCTGTATAGCTCACAACGCGTCTTTGAGATACTCGTATTATATTATATCAAAACACAAATTCTGTGCTCAATATAAACGTTTCTCAAACGGTACAGCCTGTGCTATACAGTCAGAAGTTTCTCTAACGCAAAGTAGCGCGCTGAAAATCAATACAAATATTCCCAATAAGATGGGATCAAATATCTATCTGCAGGGATTGCAGCGATTCTCCCAAGCAGACAGTCAGAAGTTTACCAGTCACAAACTTAACCACGCCGTGACTTTGAGCTTAGTCAAACACAACCTTACTGTCAATGGTCCGGCAACATGCAATAGAAAATTAGGTAACAAAAATAAGTCTTTAATCAAAATCACATAATAAAGGCTGAAACGGGGAAGACTGAAGAACAGATGACATGGTTAAACGAGATCGAAACAAAGGTTGGAATACACAAAAGGGAGAAGGAACAAATAAATGAAAATACTGTTCAACAAAGAAGCTGCAGAGGGATTTTCACTGTTCTCTTTCCGTTACAACCACGTAGCACACCTTGTTAGAATACATTGAATTTACTAGTTCCAAACAAATCAGAATAGATAAAGCTTTTGTATTGTGGGATTAAATTTCCACTATGTATATCTTACTGCGATGAAGTTAATTAATGAGATGTTATTGTAGGGCCAGCGAAATGTCACTAAGCCCTAGCCAGATCATACGGCAGTTGGGTCATTGAATGTCGAGCGAATCATCGATCCTCGTCAAGGTCAAGGACAACCAACGCGCATCAGTTAGTCGTATGCCATGCACTGGCCCATGCGACAGTGGTCTTACTTTCGCTTGTATCTACCTTAACCAATATATTTCTGTAATAACGTCCTCTGTGTTGGACAGTCTTCAAAGCACCTATGGTACCTTGATACGTCAATGGGGTAGTCCACGTAAGGTGCTGACCACGAGGTGTGACTTCGACGTTAGCTGGTTCGTCACACCATTCACGTCTAACTCGAATAGGCCTCCAATCATTTTTGACATAGATCATCTACATTGGTGATCTACGCTGTTGAGCAAGAATTCGAATAATGCAACCTATCACTATAATCTTTATTATTGCATTCTGTATTTATTCTCTTTCATTTTTATCATCGCCTATGTTAATCTATTGCTGTGAACTTACGTTGCTTTATGTCAATGTTCCTTAGCATTTAAACCTAAATAATTAGTTCAATCGACAGAACTAACTAATCAACTACGTTTGTAATCGGCTATCGTGGTTCTTTAACAAGCACCCGAGCTACCAACTTTGGGGAAATTTTGTGGAATTCTGGGTAAATTTTTGGGAAATCTCCAAAGTGAAATAGTCTTCCCCAAAGTTTGGGAAAATTATGGGGAAAATCCCCAAAATGTTCGTAGCGCATTTTTCCACTATAAGATTTCATCTCCATAAAAGAAATAAGCCTTAAAGTAGTAAATTTGAATAAATAAATTGACGTTTTAATACAATACAGACTTTTGGTGAGGAGCCGTCTATCGAATTAAAGGTCTTGTTTTAATACATCAACAAACGGACACGAGACAAAGAGTTGTCGGTTGTAAACCACTTTTTCGAAATTCGAACGCTGTGCAGGTGAGTTATTAGCAGTGCAGGTCGGAAACTTTGGGTGCTGTCTATGTTCAGTCTTACTTAAGTCAATTATTTCTTTCAGAATAATAATAGACAGGTCGATAAGATTGCAAAAAGGCGGACTGAAGTCGCAAAATACCTGAGGTTGTTTGGCTGTTCCGGAGCAACCTATTACAGAAGGTTGACGAAGTTAAAAGCACAGTTTATAAAGAAGTGTCAGTTACCGAGTTGTGACGGAGAGACAGACAATCCAGTTGTCGTCACAGAATCACGTACTACCGCAGCTACAGAGCAGTCGGCTAATATTGTCACAGCTACAGCTACTGCTTGATGTAGTTACGTCCAGTGTTCAGAAAACACAACCAGCGGTAGTATCTCTTTAATTATTAAAAATTTATAGGTTGTGTGATGTCAGAAATGTCTCCAGCCATTCATCTTTCAATGAAAGAACAGTTAGACAGAATAGTCATTGAAATGATGAAAGGTGGTTACATAGGCACAAAGAAGGCTGACCAAATATTTGACCTTTTTCGTGCGCGGTATCCAGAACTTCCAACATCCGTCCGGAGTGTTCTACGTCGATGCAACGACGTGAAGCCTAGGATCCTCGAATCTGGAACGAATTACCATCTGGGATTGAAATCAAGTTCACTGTGAATTTCAGAGAATTGGCTACGTGAAATCGGTTTCACGGAATTAGACTTGCAGTTGAATTACGACGGTTCAAGCTTGTTTGAAAGCTCTAACCAACAGCTCTGGCCCATCTTAGTACGCATTGTAGCGCCATTAGTTAGTAGTGTATTCATAGTTGGGATCTACGTTGGTAAAGTAAAACCATCTGATTTCAACGACATGTCAGCAGCACTTATAACAGAGTTACAGGAGTTGCTGACAGTAGGTATTAATGTTGATAAGTATCAGCTACACTTAACAGTTAAATTAGTTGCTGTTATTTGTTCATTTGAAAATCTGCCAGTCAATATGATTAAATGTTTCCCCTGTGAACCTATGCATATGATATATTTTGCGGTTACTAAAAAGGTTGTTTCATTATGGAAGGAGCTAGCTGTTAAGCAACTTCATAGGATGGATCAATTAGTAATCGCATCAATAAACGAAGCATTAGACTTATGTAGGCAGCACACCACATGTGACTTTCAACGCAAATGTCGCTCACTTCATGAATTTTCTGTATGGAAAGCAACTGAATGTCGGTTGTTCTTACTGTACTTAGGACCTTCAGTTCTTCATAATAGGCTACCACTGTTGATATACAGAAACTTCCAGTCACTCTCTTTGTCTGTGTATTTAGT